GGGGCGTCCACCTGTCGAGCCGTTAGGTGCCAAGTCAGTGACGGGGTGGGTGCAGCTGTGGGCATGGCAGCCCCTGGGCCCTGGGTGCTCCTGTCCTGAGATGAAGCAGGCGTGGGCTCTGGCTGGTCCACTCCCCCCGCGTTGCGGGTGTGGCCACAGGCCCAGCGGGGTCCAGCCTGGTTTTCCGGTGCTCACCGTGCCCCTCTCCAGTCCGTCAGCTTTCCTGTCTGTGTGTCCCAGTGGAGCTGGAGTCACCCCTCCTCCACAGCAGGGTCAGGTCCTGGTCTCCCCGGTGACCAGGCTGCCAGGCGCTCATCAGGCTGATGGCGGCCCATTAGCCAACACACTGCCAGCCCTACCCGGGCTGCCAGGGGGACTGGCCACAGCTGCAGGTGGGGACTGGCCACGCCGAGGGAGAGGTGGATGCTTGAGGCTGGGGAAGGCACACCACCCGCTCCTGGAACCATGTCCTTCCAAATGACCTTCAGGAGGTGACAGTTAGGAGCCAGGTTCCTCCCCACACTCAGCAGGGGCACCGGCCTGTGCCACAGCCCATGTCAAACTCGGGCCCTTTAGGAAAGCCTGTCTGTGTGCCTGGCTGGGTGCCCCGTGGACGGGGGACCAGGAGCCGCTGGGACTCAGTCTTCTCATCTCTGAAATGGAGAGGGTGGCACCCGGCAGTTCTGGGCACAGATGCTTGGCCCACAGGGGCCAAACTGGAACCCATTGCATGATCAGCAGCACAGAGTAGGTCTGCACGTAGACTTCTGGGAAACGGACAATGGTGACCCCTTACCCACACACACATGCACCCTACCAAGCCCAGCCTGGGGACGCGGGTCCTGGAGTCTCCAGGGTCAGAGCTGGGGCAGGAGAGGGAGGGGGAGGTGTCTGGCCAGGAAGCCCCTGTGTAGTCCCAGGTCATGACCGCACACCCCTGGCCTTGACGGGCAGGGAGCCTGTAGTCCCAGCCCGTGGTCACCTGAGGAACTGTGGCCTGTGAGTAGGCAGCACCTCCGTGGCCCTGCAGATGCCAGGCAGCAGGTGCTCTGGTGCCCATAACACTCAGGGCAGATGACGGCAGCCCGCCTGGCGGACACTGCGCCTGGCGCCAGCACCTCACTGCGCCATCATTACCCGCCGTCTACACCGCCAGCAGGAAGGAGCTGGGCCAGGGTAGGGGTGGGGGAGGCGGGCCTCAGTGCCGACACCAGGACCCGTGGGAGACAAGCCCTGCTCTGGGAGTCTCATGGAGGAGGCAGGCCTGCCCCAGGGAGTCCGACGGGGGAGGCAGCCGACCTCGGAGAGTGTGATGAGCGAGGCGGTTCTGCAGCCAGGCCCGGCTCAGGGCGCCGGCTGGACGGACAGGTGGCCTCCTGGCCTGAGGTCCGCCCCGCCATCAGGCTGGCTGCCCGCCTTGCCGAGCGGCGACAGACGGCTCTCCCAGAAAACAGTCCCCGTGGCCGCGCCGAGCTGGCGGTGAGCCAGGCAGGGAGACCGGGCGCCCTGACCGTGAGGCCGGTCGCTGGCCCGGGCCCTGCACAGAGGCCGGGTGGACGGGCGGCAGTCAGGTCTGACCAGGCCATGGCATCGCCCTCCAGGGCACCACCCTGCATTCCCCAGGCCCCCATGCTCACATCCTCACCCTGCTCCCACCTGCCAACCCCCCCCACGGGCCCTCTCGTGGGCTAAGCTCCAGCTCGGGAGTGTGTGTCAGCCGCCCGCACCCGGGCGTGTGGGCCCACAGCCCCCTCCCGTGTCACTGTGTGCAGAATCCACATGGGGGGGGGTGAATTCAGAGGGAGGATTCCCTCACCCCTGCCCATTTGAGCAAAATGGCCCATTGAATGCCAGGTAACAGAGGGGGCGGGGGAGCAGTGTGGGCCCCAGACTTTAAAGACGCCCCTTTTACCCCAACCAGAGGGTTTCTAGCACATTCAGGCCCCTCCCAGGGCTGTGAGGTTGCAAACATAAGGGGGGCCCCTGTGGGTAGGGTTGGCCCTTCCCCCAGGGAAGTCCAGCTCCCTGACCCCTAAACAGCCTCAGAGGAGGGGGCATCACCCTGATTATAAGTGGGAACCCTGACCCCTAAGTTAGGCCTCACTGAGGCTGCAGGATTTAACAGTGAACTGGGGTGACACCGGGGAGTCCTCCTGGGGTCCCTGGGGTCTGCACTCACCGCCCAGGATCCCAGAGCTCACATGTGCAGGTCAAGTTCAAGGCCAGGACCCTGTGTGCCATCACTGGGAGGGCTGCCTCCATCTCACCCAGAGGTGGGCACTAATGGTGGACACAGCGTTGTACAGGCCACAGTGGACACGGCCTTTCCAGGGCCCCGACGGCCCCACCTGCCACACCCCCAGCGCCACATCCCAGCAGGCACAGCTGTGTTGCCCGTGTATTTGTACACATGTGGCCTTGCCTGCCACCACCCTCCACCAGGGAAGGGC